ATCCTGAAATTTTTGGTGGATGTTTTCTTCGTTTTGGAATTTTTCATGTCAAAATTGTGTTTGGTTGCCCAGAAACTGCGAGAGAAAAAAAAAAAAAAGAAGGTAAATGTGTACTCTCGATTTTTCCTTTTCCTTTCTTTTTCTTAAGAGAGAAAAAAAAAAAGGGGGTCGTGATACTAATGTCACCGTGGTTTAGATGAGTTCACCTTTTGTCGTTTACTGGGAAGGCGAAAGGAACCTCAGATTTGTTAAAGCAGCTGTTTGACTCATCGTCAGTTTTTTCTGCAACCAAACAGAAGATGGGTTAGGGGTGGAGGAAGTTGTGGGTAATGGGTTTTGTTTCTGGTTGAGGATTAATTGTGGGTTTTAGCTGAACGAGACCCTTGATGGTTTGAATATGGTAGAATCTATTTTCGATTAGCTAATTGATTTCTGTTCTGTTGATAAATATGAGGATTGCTTGTAAATTTTGCTTGATGGGAGGTCCATTTAGCTTAATTTGCACTAACAAGGATTTGAATCTTGTTGGGTTTTAGATTTCAATATTGTGTTAATGCATGATATTTCCCCCCTTCTTTGTTAGAAGGCAGAATGTGGAGGTCCTGCTTGGTTTGCATTGCTTGCATGCCAGTATGCTAGATTTTGCTTGTAATTTAGACTTTTGTTGGAGAAGGACTGAACCCAATTTTTGTAACACTTATGTTCTTTTAACTCATTAAATGTCTAGAGAACGTTCATTCTGAAACTTTTGAATGAAAAAACAGGAGGATGATTATCTTCTTCCCCTCTTCTCATGTTATTTATGCAGTTGGAACTTTTGAATGAAAAAACAGGGGAAAGGGAAAACACAAGCATAGCTCGAGTTTCATTCTGAACTTATTAACAGAAAATTGTCTCAAATTTCCCCTCACTGATGACTTCAATTTTTCTAATTAAAATTGTTCAAAGAGGCAAACTTTGGTACTTTAACAGTGGCTTTTGAATTCTTTTGACAGAAATCATCTTTGAGGACAGTTGATACTTTTGCAGTGCAATGTGAAAAATGTTATAAATGGAGGGTGATTGATACTGAAGAAGAGTATGAGGAAATCCGAAGCACCATCCTTGAGGAGCCATTCATTTGTGGGAGAAAACCGGGTGTGTCTTGTGAGGATCCTGCTGATATTGAGTACAATGCGACTAGAACCTGGGTCATTGACAAGCCTGGTCTTCCAAAGACTCCTGAAGGTTTTAAGAGAAGCTTGGTACTTAGAAGAGACTACTCTAAACTGGATGCTTACTATATTACTCCTACAGGAAAGAGAGTCAGAACTCGCAATGAAATAGCATCCTTCATAGAGGCAAATCCACAATACAAAGGCATTTCCATTAAAGACTTTGATTTTGGGAGTCCAAAGGTTATGGAAGACACTATCCCTGCTGAGTATGTCAAAAAAAGTTCTAGTCCCAGTTCTAACAAAAAATCCAAAACATCAAAGGATGCTGTTTCAAATGGAACTGTTTTGCATCTTGAGTGAGGTCTACTGACCTTGGTCCTTGAACTTGTACTTTGGTCATGTATTTTCTAGTAGGTTGGTTTGAGAAGTCTGTTTTGGGGTTGGCTTTCTTCTTCTAGTTGTTGACTGCGCTATGGCAGTTAGGAAGTGCCAGGACTTCTTGGGATGTTAAGTTAAATATTATTGCTGAGGCTGTTAATCCAAGGATTGTTCTTATTCTTGTATCAGTCACATAGCAGTACCACATACAATGTGCAATCCTTTGAGGTGCCTCTTTGGTACTGGCTTCAAAGCAGGTATCTAACTTGTGACTGGTTTAGACGTCCACGTTCCATACTCTTTGAAGTGCAATTGCTGGTGATCATTTATTTACTTATTTTGAGCATATAGAACTCATAATAATAAGTCATATGACAAAAGATAATCATTCATTTTCTCAAACCCTAGCTCTTAACCGTTTAGACAATTCATTGGGTACGCGTTAAAATTTATCCAAATCTTTATATTTACCCACTTAAATTTATTAGAGGCAGAAGGAAGAATTTCTGTTGAAACTTGTTCCATATTTTTCAGAGGGTTAGCCGAGGGAGATCTGTTGACAGATTTTGCCAGTCTCCAGAAACACTGTGTTCTATTAAAAATGAGAGATTCTGTACAGATGCATGGTTAGGGTTACAAATTATGTACATGGGTCACTGAAGGAATTCTAAGATCAAACCATTCGTCCTGCTCTTCAAATGATGCCCAGATGCCCCTGTTGATAGTTCTCTACAACATTGATCTTCATATCTCCATTATTATAGAATTCATCATTTCAAGTCCTTCACATCATCCATGCACCAGCAACAAAACCACGAGAACCCCAGGGCGGCAGACAAAAAATCACAATCAACAAATGTCAATTACATCGCAACATCTTTCTGTTAGCTTTTATCGTCTCTGCTATGGTTGGCTGTTAATTGTCAGTATAAAAAAACCCTGTGGAATTCTTGCAACCTAAAGTGGTGACTTTTGACTTCCTAGTCAGGTTTAGTATACTCAAGCAGCATGTGTGGAGACCTGTAAATCTTCACTAGTGTCCAGTAAAGGACTTCTTCAACTCCAAGCTCACCCTCTGCTCTTGCAGCATATATATCTTCACATATAGCTATCAACCTACGTTTGAACAACATAACCCGATATAAATATATGAAATGAACCAAAAACTGCATTCTTTCCTATCTTAATGTGTAATGAAATATTATCATCTGATTTCTCATTAGCATGCTTCCATATTTTTGAAATTATTAAGTAATAGATCATTACCTGTCGCAGGAAGGCAGGTTTTCATAAGGTATTCTCATTCTTAAGTCAGAGCATTGAAGTCTGATAAACCTTCCAACCGCAAGCACAAACGTTATGTACAGACCCCAAATGCTGAACTTGCTGAGAGTGTCTCCAAGAATACCCTCTGAGGTAGTATTACAGCATTAGTAAAATATTAAATTCACAGTAGCTTATTACCAGATATGCATGACATAAGAATTGTTTTCCAGAACTTACGTGGTGGTGTTTCCTCAGATACTACAATGGCCATGGGTCCTGCCAAACCTCCACAGCCTCTTACATCAGATGAATTGATGTCATGGAAGGACCACCACTTAAAAGTTTCACGATTGATAATAAGATCTGCACTTACTCTGTTCACCTGTGAAAAGAAACAATGGTGTATCAGCTCTGTCAAATTAGATTACTTATGGCCATACTCGAGCTTGTTAGCTTAAAAAATATCACGAAAATCTTTAATCATCACTGATTAGCAAACAATACGGAGGTTTGGTACTTCAAATAGGCTGAGCTAGGAATGTTTCACCAGTGTCAATTGCTGATTGACCCCAGTAGAAAATTTTCCTTTAACGTAAGAGGAAAAGTTTGATGAGAAGTACCTCTTGATCAAAGTATCTGACCTCACCAGAACCAGTGACACGGAAGTATCTTGGGTAAAGATTATATATCCTAAAGCTGTTTGTAGAACCATTGAGAACCTTTTGGACATCAGATCGTTCTTGAAGATCCATAGGATCAGCTGATCTTTCATATTTTACAACTTCCTTACCCTTAGGTCGGTCCCTTGTAAGTACCCAAGTAAAAGTGATATCCATGTCCATGTCCCAGTCAAGGGACTGAATAAATCTGGCCTGAACCACTTCAGGAACAAGCCACAAAATACTTGAATCAGCCTGACAGCAGATTAACTGTATATCATTTTTATTATATGCGTCCAAATAATGTTGGGGATCAAGATTTGCATCAGAGTTGAGCTTATCCCATGGGAGCTTTTCACAGAGTGTTGTCTGATACAAGGGCAACCTTCCACTCGCAGTTCTAATGTCAATCTGAACATTTGCATCTTTGATGGGATTTGCAATATTTGTTGGGTTACCACTGCTGTACATCTGCACAAACAGAATAAATTCCATGGATATCAAGAGAGCAAATATTTCTTCTATGCGTAAATGCTAACGGTGATAGGCACTAGCAAAAAGCATTGACAACATCACCATGAATAAGCTGTCACCTTAAATGATAATTAAAAAAGGTATTTTTTTTATTTGCTATTATTATATTCTAAGTGTCATGAAAAAGATCAATGAACTTCCCAAAAGGGTACATGTTTAAGCATGGAATCAATCTGGAGATGGTTACTCCAGCTGGTAGCACTTCTCTTATTCAATGGTGTTTAAACCATATCCAGGTTATATCTTTCAACGCTTTTTCCTTCAACTTGATGGATCAAGTGCATAATGTATAAAAACCACTAGCCATTTCCCTGTCTAAGCATAATTTTTACCTTTCTGATGCAACATGAAAAATATTTTCTTTGGCCACCAACTATATGGTCACACAATTTATTATTCAAATAGAATAAGAAATCCTATGAGATACTTAAAGCATTTGCAAGGACATCATAACTAGAAGGTAGCAAAGGATCCCAAAAATTCAGCAGGATACCTTCCTGGAAATGATTCTCAAATTTGGCATTAACTGTACATATTGCAAACAACTAAGTGTTTCTGTTTTGTTCCTTACCAGCATTGGAGCCCAGATAACACAGAGTAGTATGAAGAACAGGCATATTCCGTTGCAGCATTTGGTCATCTTTGTTTGCTTCTCTCCTGGTTTATGTGTAGCTCTATTCAACACGGCATCACATTTGACAAGGTATAAACTTGCATATATATCCTCCAGCTAAGAAGAAGCCACAATATTAGCTTCCAAATTAAAAAATCAAATTATCCAATCAAGCAAATACTTGAATTACAAAGGGTGATAATAAAAACAACATCTTAAGCACCAATTTGAGGTCATGCTTTGTGCAACGGACAAGATAATGCTGTATGATATGGCTTTACGTTAAAACTTCAAAGCAATGTGATTTGAATACTATTATCCTCTTCCAAACAATTAATGGAACTATTTCCATGCAAAATATTCCAACAAGTTTGAAGAAATGCAACAACAGTATCTCCTGTGCTTCACATGCACCCCCAGATTCATTTTATCTTTTATTTAGGCAGTCGAATAGAAAGGATTTGGGCTAGGCTGGCAGTATGCACCACTTCATGGTAATACAATCTGATACATGCAGCCATGAACTGACAACGTTTCTTTATTATCTATGTGGGATTTTAGTTTCAGCATTGTAGGGTATTTTAAGTTTTGGAGAAATTACATAATTTTCTCAAGTTGAGGTTATTCTAAAACTAAAAGCAATTAGAACTTATGTTTCCAAGATGATTATGTGCTTGTTTATTAGGAAGTGTCAACAATAGAGAAAAGGAATAGTAAAAAGCCTATATCTATATTAAATATCCACAATTCATGTTTCAGTTACCTTCTAAATTGATAAGCCGTTCAGTTTATTGAAGATGTGGATTCCCATTATTATTGTTCTGTCATCTTGGGTTTTAAAAACTCAAAATATATCTAAACTTTCTTCTTAGTATCCTTATTCAAGTTTTATATAAACATGTTCTTCCACCGTAAAGACACTATAATTTTCCTAAACCTAAGTTCCCTATCTGCTAATTACACAAACTCCTTATTCATCCAATGTAAAAGCTATTTACATTATTTCTGACATTTCAGCCAACAAAGCAAATTTAGTTTCAATTGGGAGCTAAAAATTGAAATAAATATACTTACTTTTAGCCAGTCATACATGGTCAAAGACGTGGTTGTGCATGACCAGTCAAGCACACATCGTAGTTCATACAGGAATGGAAGAGCCCGGTAAAGTCTATAGCACAAGTAATTTATTCGTGAAACCTCACTGGTCAAAAACTGCCTATACAAGGTACTCTTTTGAGGGATTCCATGTCGAATTTGTATAGCCTGAAGTGCTAGAGAGACTGCTTTAGCAAGAAATACAGCACAAAGTGCTAGCACTCCAGCATTTTGGTGCGAGGGTTCCATCTCCCATGCATATTTCGTAACTGAATATGTGAAGAGAATGAGGTTGAAAAGGTAGAAAATCACTTTTCCTGTGGCGAATGAACAAAGATAAAGTATGCGATCTAGAACAATCAAGAAAAAGATTATCTGCAACAAGAAAGCATTTGATCCAGTTAAGAGTCATCCAAGCCTGAACAGCCTAATACAGAGGACAAGAAGAACAAAGACTTAAATAGAAATAGACTTACTATTAGGATAAATACAAACTCTTTAGGAAACTGATCCTCAAGCTGATAAACGTCAAGAAATTCGCTGTTATTTTTAATAACAGACTGGTAGAAAATTGCAACTAAAAAGAACACAGTCAAATCTGCACCAAATACGTAAGCATAGAGATCAAGTTCTCTTTTTCCACCTCCAATTACGGAGAGGATTGGGTATTGGAATCCAACTTCTTCAACAAACCCAGTATCTTGTGCTTTAAGGATTTCCCTTGCTACATCTGCTGCAGGAGTTAGTGATTTATACCAATCTGCTGAGCTACACCCTGCCAAAGGGGAGGCATACACCACCTCGAGAACAACCAAGGCCATGTCTGGGTTCTCTTTACTTCTTTCAATACTTTGAACCTGAACCCTGCTCGCAAAAGGGCAATGATTAGGGTTTTTTCCCTCACATCTCTCATCATGAACAATTCTAAGCAGTTCATTTACTCCAGATTCAATCCTTTCTGGTTGTATACCATCCTCTGGCCATGAGTGGACATCCATAGACACTTGCACAAAATATGGAGGAGATTCAGCACCTTGGATCAGTGATTTCCAGTACCTATAGAAGCTTCTAATTATCATTGTCACCATGGTCATCATCCAGTGAAGCAGCTCCTGCACCTTTTCAGTCCAACTATAGTTCATATGAGCCTTGTTTCTATAGAGAACATTCTTCTTTCGGAAACTGAATTCTGTGCAAGGCATCCATTCACCATCTTTTGCACTTATAGAGCTCTGTAATAGGGTAAACAAGTAGACAAGGAAAAGAGGCAATGAACTCACAACAAAGGATGACTTAATCTTATGTGCAGGAAATCCTAATTCATGGAGCAGGTCTGAACTGATGGTGAACCCACAGTGCTGGATCAAAATTTGGTACAGATACTGAAGCAATATATAAACTTCTGTGTAAATCAGCATAATAACCCAGAAGATATAACTTGGCCCAGTACTCACGCATAGAGCATACAAGAAGAGAGCTGCAAGATACCCCATAGAAAGCAAACTGAAGTTCCATAGAAAGACAAGAACAAAGCAACAGTAACAGACAATATCATTATTAGATCGCATTTGAGACCATATGTGACAGAAAATCCTCCCTATCTGCAAACTGGTAGCGTCGGAACCCATGTCAGACTGCAAAGAAGATGACCGGTCAAAATTCATGTCCTTTGTTTTCTGGCTTTCCATCTCATCAAATACCTCATCCCCCAGAGAATCATGCTCACTCACATCCGTGTCTTCTTTTGTTATGTTCAAGAAATTCACAAGGTTGTTAACTGCCTGATTGCCGATGGACTGCACCTGGGAAACACCATCACCTATGAGGTTTACTGCAGAAATTAAAGGGTTTTCCTTTGCTTGCTCCCTTTTTTCTGAATCAAAAAATTCACTATGGAAATCCTGTTCAATTTCAGTGATCTCGCAAGGCAGAGATTCCATGGAATGCTTTGAAGACTCCATAGTTGCAGGACTTTCTCTTTGCTTATTCGCAACAAATTCTTGAACTTCAGGAGGTAAAACTGAATCTCTCCTAGTAAATTGCTCATTTTTTCTAAGAACGCCATCCTCTTTATCAGGGGTCCCAACATCCCTATTTGAGGCACATGAAGTACTCCTCCTTCTTAGGCCTTCAACACCAGGAGAAGAATCATCAAGATTTGCAGTTGAATTCATGCTGTGAAGCTGTGTTTGCAAGTTGAGCATCTCAGACTTCATTTTCTCTACCTGCAAGTTTCGCTGGCGTTTCTTCTCCTCAGATTCACGTATATGATGTAGCTGTGCAGTTTTCCAAGCAGCTCTTTTCTCTTGCTCACAGACAATAGCACCAATTTGCTCCGCTTCTAGATAACGTGACACATAATCAAACTCTGGAGATGAGAACATATATGACTGAAGTGATACCAACATAAATATGATGATCTCGACAAGTGCAGATCTTGAAGTAATCCGGAACCCATAGTCATACTTGTAAAATCCAATAACTTCATATATGTAATCAATAGTTTCACACTTCCCATCGCTAAATTCACCCACAAATGGAGACTGATAGGCAAGAGAAAGAACAATTAGAGCAAAATTGTACATTCGCAAGAACTTGAATATTTTGTTCTTCTTCTTGAGTATCTTTATTCTCATTCGGAAGAAAACAAGAGCAAAGGCAAGATAACCAAGATGTAAAATGTCATATTCAAGAGTTCCAGTAATCAAAATCAGCGCAAGGACTAGATCCAACAGATGGCAGTAACAATAAAGCCTCAAGTAGTCAAGAATTGTCCACATGCTTTTTGTTTCAAAAGAAAGATCTCGCCAAACAAATAAGTTTTTACGTTGAGACATCATTTGGCGATATGTTGATGACCCTGAGAAACTGGATGAATGATCAGCTCGAAGCTTGAAAGTAGATAGCAGAAACACCACAGAATAGCTGATAAGCACTCTGGGATCATCAACAATCAATCCTGCAGGAAAAGGGAAACAGAAATTAGCAGGTTTGATTTCAACTTATTTGATGTACAGACAGACTGATTTTAAATGATACTTATAGTTAAAGGTGGAACATTGGCACAATTACTTGAACTCCTAGCAGAATATTACAACAACCTAAAGCCAGTGTGAAAGGGTCTAAAAGCTCATAAAATGCATGGAATAAACTTATATCCATGATTCTTCCACATCAGACGGAGTAAATGCAGCCAAGTAACTGGTTCCTTTTGTTTATCAACAAATACAAGGCTAATGCAAAGATACAAGTTGTTTAATTGAACTCTTCTACCAGTCAAAAGCAAATAAGAAGTGTTTGTGGAACTTATTAAGGTGTAAATACAAGCTGTTTAAGAGAACAATACCCAGCCAACAGCTCCTGCAATATTTGAAATACAGAGTTGATATCCTCCAGCAATCATGGCAATGTATATCAGTCTCACTCGGAAAATGCTGACTCAAAGGAAACATGTAATTCCAGATGGCAAAATACTCAAGGATGAGAATGGAAGCAAATAAGAAGACAAGTACCGGCCATAATTTACATATGAGGCGGCGATGCAGAAGAACACAAGCAGCAAGCAATGCAATATACAGCAGAGAAATGACATTCAACAGAGCAAAACTTGCAAGAAGCAGCGCAACCATGTTTATCTCGAGACCATAGAGGTTAAACATATTTTCAAACAAAAATTTCAAATATATTTTTAAGAGACTCTTTTGTGTTTCAAATCTCTCTTTTCTCAAAGCAACTATCTGCTTCTTGTTCCACTTTTGACTCTCTTTGGTGCTTCCCCAGAAATATCCAAATGAAGATTTTTTACTGCTGCTACTCTCAGAGCCTTCTGCTCTCGAGGACCCAATATGAGGTGCTTGAGATAAAACGGGGGCAAAAGATGTCCATGAATTGTTTGACCCCTCTTGTCTTATAGATATAGCTTCAGAACTTGATGGCTTATTTTCCTCACTGAACTCAGGACCATTGATGAAGGCATCTTCAGCTGACACAAACAAAGGACAAAGCTCTCCCCACTTGCCTTTGTTTGAAAAGGCACTTGGCATCCTCTCCAACCATCTGAAGATATTGTACTGAAGGATGCATGCAGCAATTACCAGAACTTTTGCTCTCAAGCCTGATTCTATACCCCAAAAGCCAGGCTCATACACATGTAAACCTAAAAAAAGGGATACATCAGAATGCTTTTGCCCAGGAAACATCTTGGCTTGTTTACCCCACATTTGAAAAAGATAGTCTATTGTCACTGATAATCCAGTATAAACTAGAAACAATTTGGATGGGATCCGAGAAGCTTTAGGTAAGGCTGAACAGATGACAAAGCCAAGTAGATACAAGAATCCTAATGCACTAATTGGTGATAAAGATGCATAGAATAATGCAATAAACAAGATCTTCTGACTATGCCAAATCAGAAAGCGCTTGGTAAACCCAAGTACTCCATTTTCTAATGGATTAGGATCATCAGTCTTATAATGCTTGCTCTGTCTCCTTTCATAGCTATAAAGTTGCATCACAATAAGAACTGCTAGAGATTCCCAAATGTTATTCAACAATGAAGCTTCAGAGTCGTAACCCAAATAAAAATGGAGATCTATGAACCCAGAAAACCAAATCTTGAAGGTGGCAAAAGTGCTCAAGCTATAGATGAAAATAAACACTGTGATTGCATATGCTTTTAACGGAAACCATAGGCGCCTTTTGGTTTTTTCAACAAGTTGTCTCCCAATGATCCAAAATAAGAGAAGGAACATGTATCCAAATGAAATGTAGTTGGGTGTCACCAGGTACACTGTCAGGAGAATTGTCAAAAAAGCAATGTAGGTTCCACATGATCGATATATTGAAAGAAACTTCTGCCCAATTTCACTGAGGAAAGACGCTATCCTTTTCTCTGCAAGAACATAAAACAAAATATGAACAAAATGCAGGCAGCGAAGCACTAACCAGAAGAGTAGCCAGAGTAGTATGAAAGCACAAATCAAACAATGGCTGTAGATACAGCAACCACTAAAACTTCTTATAGAGAAACTAGTCAGGTATTCTATAAACACCTGACATCTGGCCCAGAGTTAGTTCTTAATAATCTCAAACCAGATCATGCTTAGATCTATAAAGCCAGCAGAATTACTGTAATAAAAACCAATTGATTCTAGTTCCAGCACACTAAATGTAAGAAGAAACTCAAACACAATTTTAACTTTATAAATAGTTCTCTATCTAGAGAATAACTTTATTGGATGGTTATTTTGGCAGTTATAAAATTGGTTGTACTCCTAAATGTTGCACTATCTCACCATAGTATCGCCAAAACCATAACATGTAAGCTACATCAAATAGTTAAGTTCCATTAGCATTGAGATTTAAATTGGAAACTCAAAACTTGTCCTAGCTACATAAAAGATGAGATTGTACCATGCGAAAGATTATCATGGCTACGTGATGCAGTTGTGGTAGCAAATACTGACAAGAGAACCGATTTGTTCAGAGCAGCTTTCAAGACACTAAATCCAACAGGAGGCCTGGGGGTGTGCTCCACTATTACTGAGAATGAAACCATCATCTCAAGACCATGGTTATGAATTGCACAGAAGCAAGCAAGCAAAGCTATTTCCAAGAAGTCCCAGGAACTGTAATGTTTAAGGAGACCTGCATCAGTTCATATAAAGATGACTGTTTAGTTCTTTTTTCTTGGTCAGATTTCAACCTGACATAAAAGAATATGCCAAAATCCCTTAAGAAAATTAATTACTAATCACGACCATGTCCTAGAATGAAGTTCAGCAAATTTAACTAAATGCATACCTAACTGTGATAAGATCTCCAAGCTTAATGAGCCTTTTTGCTCCAACTCACTAGAGATCAAATCAATCTGAAGAATGTACAATAGTGCAAAGTGAGCTTCGCATAGAAGAATCAGGCACTGCCGTATCTTTCTGCTGATGTTGTGGCTCAAAAGATATATCAAAAAGAATATCACTGAAATGCAGATAGGAACATGATATAAATCAGAAAGTGGCAGGAACACATTGTCACTCAGCAGTTCATACTTTTAAAAATGCCAATTACAAAAGAAATTGAGTCAATGCCTTATGCTAAAGGTCAATTTAAAATAATAAACTTGAATAGTTAGGGGTCTGAAAGAACGTACTATATACAGCATGGATAAATCCTGGTTTCATGGCAATGATGAATATCATTGCCAGCACGATAGCTCGAGAGCATTTGCGCAGTCCCCATGCAATTGTGGCCATAATGAATACCTTGGTCTCCCCTTCCACTAAAGTAAAGGATATCAAAATGTAATTATGTACATTAAAGGATAACAATAAGTCACTAAAAATTTGATTTTCAGGAACATATCTAGAAGAACATATGAAATTTAAGGGAATATATTGTAGAACATGCAAAGGTAATAAATGTCATCATAAAACCTGAGCTGATAGTTTGTTTCACTAATGGATTCAAACAAAATGAAAAATAATAATAATAATAATAATAATTAACATAGTAGGATTGGAATCATTCTGACACTTTTTGGAATTGCCTGATAAATGGTTGGATTTAGATTCACCATTCCTTGATTCAAATCATCCATATTGTTTGCTTGCTTTTCTTGTTAGGGTTTCCTTATCTTGTGAACTGATCATATCAATATAAATAAAGTGGTGGCACACCAGATTTGAGTGTGACCAATATTTCCAACCTCTCTTCTCTTCTCTCCTTTCTTTTCTTCCCTTCTCTTCTATTTTTGCCAATTTACAATGTTAATAGAAATAAATAACTTTATTACACTTTAAATATAAAATCTCATACCTTCCACAGTGCAGCTGTTATTAGGTGATGGCCCATCTTCATCAGTTAGGTAGAGGAAAACAGAGTTATTAACAAGATTGACCAAAGCAACCAGAATTCCAAGACAAAATTGTGCAAGCAAAAAGAACCCAGGTATAGGATAATGCCATAACCCAACCATCTCCCAAATCTCCATATCCTGCATGCATATAAAGAAGATGAAATGAGAAAGAATTTCAACCATAAGCTTTTTTGATAATATGAGCATGAAACCAACAGAAGAGAGGATTACCTTCCCAAGTTTCTTATTCAAGAATGCAAAAGCAACATTGAAAATGTAGGTGCTAACAGCCCAAAAAAGAATGAAGACGAGAAGGAGCCCATTTAACCGGTGCAACCGAAACAGGGAAGGAAAGGCATATACAACATAGCCAACATATACAAGCAACCCAAATGCGCAGATACTTGCAAAATGGAAACTCCAAAAGGATAGAGCAAACAAGGAGACCTGTCAAATTCACCATCAATTCTCTCATATAAACCACAAAGATTGATAGGTAAACCACAATATTGATAGGTTCAAGAGGAAACAAAAATCATATGATGGCATGCATGACTAATGCCAAGATCAAGACAAAAATAGAGGTTATTAGTGCTTTTGCCATAGAGCATGATACTTGGGTTAGAAAGAAGAATAACTTTAGCAGTTTGAGAAACATACTGGGAAACCATATGTGAAAAAGTTGATGCTGAAAGTGCGGAAAACTGCACGCCTTAATAAAACATTGGTATTCCTTACACCAGATCTGCAAAGCCAACACAATTAGGTTCATACATATCACAGTATGAAACATAGTGATGAAAACTTTAGCAAAGAGAAGCATAAAAGAAACAACATTTTTCTAGCCAAGCAGCAGAGAAAAGCACAAAGCACACTGCAAGTACATACCCAAAACACAAATATTGATAACTCAATATATCTAAAGTAGGCAGTCCATTATTCCATTCTCCAAAAGCATGCTAGCTGTGGAAAGCAGCCAATTTAGAAGTCCAAATCCATGGCATTGTTTTCATTCTTCTCTTAACTTCCTCTGTTTGTACATAGTCTTCTTACAACAAGACCATGACATTATCTTCAGTTGGAAGTTTATGTTAAAGCAGGACAAAGGAAATTTTCTAACTTAGATTTCACAATATAAGAAGACATCTTGACTCTATTAAAACAAGGAAATTTCCATTCAAACCACCGCATGTTCACAAGAACAGCGGTTGATGGAGAGGAAGAAACCTTCAGGATATGCTGGAACAAGAAAATCACCAACTTGACAAGGTAAAGCAACTCAATTGCAACAGAGAAAAAAATGAAAATTTTTGCTAAGAGATAATAACCGTCACCAGCTAACCCTTCCTAGGACCCACTTTGATAGGACGGTAAAAAGGGTAATAAAAGGAGAGATGTAACTCTTCAGCAATCTTTCAAAGTAAACTATTTGAAATGATATTAATGACAGCAAACCTTGATTCACGAATGAAAAATGAATGCTTTGAGGGAAGCAGTTGCTCTGTCAAGTTACTTTCTCCCATGGACATAATAAAATCCATTTCCTCCAAATCGCATTTAACATAAGATAGCTGCACAGAAAGAAGGACAGTTAAAAAGCAGAAGCGATCACCAAGAACAGAGCTGTTCAGAAAGCTGAAAATATTCAAAAACACATGAGATATACTAAAATGCAGTGAATTTGCAGACATAAATTCTTTTCAGCATCAGTTAAAGACTACCCTAATAACTTTAAACAGAATCAAATCTTAGCAATATGAACAAAGCATACCATTATATAGAAAATTACAAGAGAAACACCAGAGCAAATTTCAGGCCACTCAGATGTTGCACATATTTTGAAGAGACCAACAAAATCAGCTATCCACTGAAACATACTTGAGAACTCTATTGGAAGCTGAAACACATAGAGCATGAAAATATTGAAGCCTGCATACAGCTGGAGAGGCTTCCACCATCTTCAAAAGCAAGTAAAAGGACATGGAAACTCAAGAGATCAATAACTAGTATGAGAAAAACATCTATAAGAGAGAAATGAAATGAGAGCCATTGGACATAGTCTCCAAGCAGTCAAAGAGAGATTACCTGAACAGTCCTAGAAAATTGCTTGTCAAAGACCAATCAACAAGACCAACACAACTGCCAATGAAAAATGGCAAAGAAATCCATGAGGGATGGCTAATTCCCACGACCAACTGAACAACAGGTAGCAGCAAACAGGAGGCAACTCTGAGATGTGAACCTTGAGTGAAGCAAAGCACAAAAATAGTTCAATATCAGTTTTCTTTCCAATTATATGAAACAAACATTTAAAAGTTATACCGTTCATTAACCTTAGGGACTATTTAAGATAATACTTTAACTTTTTGATGTTTGTTATGGTGCCAATGGAAAAGGAAATGCAGCAACAACAATGCTTAAGCATGTATCAAGAATTTCAACATAGCAAACTGCAACTTTATTTCATTTTGTGCAGGAGACAGATTTTTAACACCAAGTCAAGTACACAACCAACAACCAATGTTCTGCTCTGGTATCATAAAATACCAATGATTTACATTCATTAAAGATTCAAAATAATTTAATAATCCTGTTAATCCAGTTTCAATATTGCCAAAACCCTTATCTATATAAAAGAATGATGAAGCAAGAACCACATACAAGAAAAATCAGGACAGAATAAACTAGAGCATCATATTACAGACTTTTAGGATCAAACCACACAAGTTTTTCGTCAACAATACATTTTAACCCTTTCAGGTGGACTTTGGTTTGTAGAACTCTCCTTTTAGGAGAGATAAAAAGAAAGAAAGGTCACTAAATGAAAAATAATTAGAGTTGTAATGAAATACTTACAAACCTAAATGTTCAATGGCTGTTAGGAAATGACCCCAACAAGAATCCCTCCATGGAGCAAGACCTAATCTGTTCCCATATATATCAAGCAGAGCCACCAAAACTACTAGCAGTTGTAAAACCAATAAATATATTACATAGGGAAATTTCCAAGATTGGAGTCTGCAAGTCCAAAGGCATAGAAGAAGAGAAAAGTTATCAGAACATGCAAAGCGAATGAAAGAAGGGAAAATAGAAAAGAGAACCAAATTGAAAGAAAAATGAACCTTACATCATAAAACCAATTAGCTTCGCCCACCAAGCATCTGTTACACTCCATTTATAACCCTCAACAACCCATATGGTAAGATATATTGCTTGTAAAAGAAAAACCAGTAGGGAGAAGATTATAACAGGCCACAGTAAGAAGTATCTCCTCCAAAAGCGAAAACCTACAAGAAAGTAATCCTATGTTATTTTGTAGGAAAAAAAAAGAAACGAGTGACAGCCCTGAAAGTATCAGTTAGGTTTCTAAATGACACCAATAAGAGATAAGTTCAATAACACAAGTGCAAGATCTCCATAAAAATCCCAAACTCCTTTCTCCTAGACTCTTAAATTAAAGAGGAACAAATAATTTAGATTTCTTAGCATTTAGAAACTCATTAAAGGACTTAAACTAAGCATTTATTAAAACCAAATTCAATCTTTCACTTAATCAAAAACCACCATATAATAAGGTGGAACTGGCACGTAGCCAACTTCTGCTAGAATTTGTTAGTTATTGACAGAGCTACCTGTGGAACTGCTCCAATCATCTATTTCAAGGATTATGGTCCCATCCATGAATGGAATGAGGTTCTGGAAGGAGTGAATTGAAAATGAACAACCTCTTAGCAGCTAGCATTTTGCAAAAGTGGCTTCTATCAAGTCAAAACTTGAACCAACGCTTTTGCATTTGTCAACACAATCAGACATGCAGATATGCAACATATATTTTCTGCTCTCCTTTTTATGTAGGGCATTTGTGACAAACAAACTCAGAATTGAGCAAGTAATAAAGAAATGTATTGCATTCATGTCTTTGTTATGGAACAGAACAGAATTAATACCATGAGAAGCTCAGATAACATTTAACCTAAAGAATTCATTTTGTTCTAAAAAAGCCATGCATGAACGAGGATTAAGCTTGCTTCCCAACCTAGTCATTAAGAGACTCAATAATCCAGCAGTTTATATGAACTGTTGTTCACTTAAGTTCAACCAGTTATACATATGTTCCATGAAGCCATCTTTTGTTGCTTATGGAAGGAGCTTACAACGAAGGAAAAAACAATCAAAAGCAAAAGAAGAATTGTGGATGACAGAACTATAGAAGAGCAATTACACTACAAACATGAAAAGCAATTTACCTATTTGTGATGCAGTAAACTGAATGAGAAGGAAAGCTATCAAATCAATGAGAGATAGCAAACTCCAATTGATAAATGCAGCTGCAAAAGGGGAAAACATGAAAAAAAGATAGTAATTAATCTTGCAGTAAAGCACACATAAACTTATTTAGTATCTATGCACTAACTCTATTTCATAATGATGAGCTACAAACATTTTCATGGCTCAATTTCCTCAGTCTACACGGTTAGAAAAGAAACTTGGCAAGTTTATACCATCATCAACCTGCTAAGTAGGTGCATTGTCTATATTATAACCAAATTATTTCCACATGAGACAGAGTCCATGATTGAAATTTTACACGTAAAACTATATCAGTAACAAGACTGAGCACATGCACGATGTAACCACTAGCACAGACACTTACAGGCAATAAGAACATGCAAGGATGCAGAAGAGAGAAACCAAGTCAATGAAGAATCAAAAGAACTAAAGCAAAATTAAACAGATAGAAAACACAGAACAATGCATGATACAAATAAATTGCCCAAAAGGAGAGAAAAATGGTTATCAAGCTCCTAACACAAAATTCCATATTTCCATATTTCCACCAAAAAAAGCTCCTAACACAAAATGGAGCCTGATAATTGAGCTCAAATTATCATTTTCTGGAAAATAAAAAATTGACAAAGCATAATAAACATGAAAATGAAATGAAGAAGAAATAACAATAATAAGCACTTACAGGTGAGAAGCAGTAGAGGTAGCAGAAAACCTGCGAGAAAATTCCCCATGAGATAGCTGTTAATGCCACCAATACCAGATCATTCCAGTCTTGATATTTCGCTATCAACCCAACAAATCCCTTCGTGGGTTTTCAATTTCCAACTAAATCATTAAAACCCATTTCACATGGAATTCAAATTTCCTCAAAAAGACAGGAGCTTTGAATCAAGAAAAACTCCAGACGTCGGGAGGGATAATAATGGAACAAACGGAAATCAGTTAACGGGGTTTACTAATATTAATCTGAAAATCAAAATGATCTACCTTCTATATGCCTAAAAAAATTTTCAATCATTTTAGAAAAAATAAATTAGAATTTTATCTGAAGGCTAACTACCATTCCAAACAGAAGGTCTAGAATTGGTAGGTGAAGATTTATGATATTGAAGAAAACAAAGTAGTAATGGGATTTAGGAGAAAGCTTCCAGATTTTGGCTAAGTCAAGCAAAATTACGAATTTCTTAGAAAAGCTGCAATCTTTGAGGGCCAATCAGAACCCTTCACTTTCTTCCACGTTCTTATTGGTAGAGAGAAGAAGATATGATAGCTTGTTTCAAAAGCGTAGATCAGTGGGGGAATTTCATAGAAAGTTTGAGGGTATTACGGTCACATAAAAAAAAAGTGCGTCGGGTGTTCACCGGAAATGGGTCGGGCTTGAGGAATTGCTGTCAAAATGGGTAGATCAGCGGCGTCGTTTTAGGACTTGCCGCGCCAAAATTCAACCTTGCTTTCCCTTTAGACCCCACGTAGATGTTTGGTTGGCAAATTTTCCACCAAAGTTTTTTAAATTTTTTTTCTTTATCATATTTTTACATATTAATCTTATAAAAAAATAAATTTTATTAAAAAATATTATAATAAAATGAAAATAATATTTTTAATTGGTAAATTTTTTTTTAAAAAAATTCTCTGGCTTTTTTTATATGAGACCAATTTGATAAATTTTTTTACTAATTTTTTTATATTAATTTCTTACTAAATACTAAAAAACTAATAATTCAATGCAATTCTATTAAAACTTTATTATAAAATTTATTTTATATAACACTTATCAATTTTTTATATAATACTTTTTGAATTATTCTTTTAATAAATTTTTTTTTAATAAAATTAATCCTCTAACCAAACCAAACCAAATAGAGTGCACATGTCTTTTGAATGAAAATTGACTCGACCAGTCCTTGCCATGGTAGAGGACATGTTCTTGAGGGTGTTTGGTCAACTTTAGAAAAGCATTCATTTTAAATGCAAGTTTTTCTCTTGTACATTTAGAAATTTATTGAAGAAAAATTCTAAAATTCATTTTAAAAATAATTTTTAAGTAAGATTTGAAAAAAATTTTAATATATAACATTTACAAATTTACTTAAAAACTATTTCAAAAATTAACTAAATCATTTTAAAACTTATTTAAATGTTATTTTTAAAACCAATTTTTTTTACCAACTATCTAAATAACTTAATAGTTATCTTTTTTTATTGGAAGTAAAAGATCTTAAATTCGAGTCGCATGGCATACGGATGGGTTGAGATAAATGATAGAAGATAATTATCTGCAACCAAGATAAAAAATAAAAATAAAAAAAATAAAAAAATAAAAACCAATTTTTAAATTCCACTCCAATAGGTTTTCAAATTTATCTTCCTCGTCCTCAATCTGCCTGTCTCCCTGTCTGGCTTTCTTAAGAGCTCGAGCTCTCGGCCCAAAGAAGCCCTTACAACAAGCTGGGCCAAACGCACAACACACACGAAACGAATTCCTCTTCTGTGCTTCTCTATTACAGGCCTCCAAAGATTTTAATTTTAATGGCCCATTTTCAATTGAATACCCATAATAAACATGGTTTTTAAACCTGGCCTGATTTGGTCGGTTGAACTGGATTTTGGTTACAAAATGGATCTGGTATATAAACCTAACTTATTTTTTAAGAGAAACCTGGTCAACGTGGCTGACTCCGCAAACTCATTGACCCGAGGGTTTTTGTTTGAAAACATTTTTGGGTATGTTATTCTTTAGTTTATATATTTTTTTATTTTAAAAATATATAAAATATTAATTAAAATAAATATTAAATCTATAAAATATATTTTATATATATTTTAGGGTGTTAAAAAATTAAAAAACTTACAATTACAGTTACAGATCAATATTATCAAATTAAATTTTAGTTAGTTTCAAAATCTTTTTTTAGCTTTTTATATGCATGCCATCTTTTTAAATTGCATGTATTCAATTAAATTTAACTTTTTAAATTGCTCTTAAGAGTATTTGCAAGTTTTTAAATTTTATATTAAAAACAAGATAACATTAGGTTTTTTTTTTAATAGGTCAGATGATGAATTATATAATAGATGAAAGTCTTTTTTTTATTGAATCCCTCTTCACCCATTCTAAAATTTAAATTTAAAATTTTTAATGTGAAGGTATAAATTATTAATTACTAAAACATCTTTTAAAAAATAAAATTATATTTTTTATTTTAATTACATAATAAAAATTAACAAGGTAACATTAGTGTATGGTAATAAAAAAAAAATTTAAAAATTAAAAAAGTAAACTTTTTAGTTGGTTAGTCAAGATGTTGAAATAATGTCCTTGTCCCCGTGACAGGGATCTTCGTGAGAATTAGGGAGTAATTGCCATTGCTAGACCCTAAGCTTACAATGTAAGCACTTCAGGCTCTCAACCTAAAAGAATCCATCTTAATGTTGGGCATTGGCTCGGAGAAACTAGCAGATCTAGCTTACCAAATAAAAGCTTCTTAAGAGATTTCCATCCAAAGTTTTGAGAGAAGATTGAAAAAACACAGAACAATGTGAAAAGACAAGCAATTGTCCATTATAAAGTTCAGGAAGGCAGAGATACGAATGTTGTTAATGATTGTGACCATACCTCAACTTGTAGAGTATGTGATTCCTTGCAGACATGTCATGATTGTCATTCAAAGTGAAAGAGTTAACACTTTGATGACCATGTATCCCCTTGTTATGGAAAACAAGCTTACATTGATACATATGAACATTGTATAATCATCTCAAGAAATGGCAAGATGGGAAGAGATAGGCATGCCTATGACTGATATACTTTGCTGCAAGGAAAATGTCTAGGAGACCCAAAAGAAAAGACATTTAGAAGAATGAGAGATTATTAGTGGATCAAACCAAACCTAAGTAGGAAGAATAGGGCACGTTATGGCCACCACTACTAATAATAATATTATAATAAAAAAATTACAAAATATTAATTTTATTTAATTTAATTGATAAAAATAATTAATAATAATTGATAAAATAATTAATATTTATTAATTAATAAAATAATATTTTTAAATATTATTTAAAAATAAAATATAAATTTTAATTACCTTAATAACATTAATATTAATGGTAATGAGTGATGACTTGTTAATTAGAGAACATAAAATGAAAAAAAAAAAAAAATCTACGTTGCCCTTACAAATGCGACGTGGCAATTGCATCTCAATGTTCAGAGACGCTGGGAATTTTAGAAGCAGCTAGAAGATGGTGGCTTGTGGACACCTTTTCTTCTTCTCAAGCTTCTTCTTAATCTCTCAGGCTCTTGGAGCTTCTCAGTGCTCAATACAGGGTCAGTTTCTCTTGTCTTTTAGCTCTCCTTTTTAATTTGCATACCAATTTACGCAAATTTCAGTGATATTTTAAGTGGGTTTTGTTGGGAGGCTGTAGGATTCAGTTGAAACTTCGGGTAGTTAATGTTTGTAGTTGATCAGATTGATTGGCACGAGCATTTGATTTATGGGTTTTGTTAGATAATCCCAAAGCTTTTTGATTATGGGTTTTTCCGGTTAGTCCCACATCAAAAGGGTATTTATTGGAACTAAGAAATAAGAATCTCCGTGGCAACTTGTTTTGTTTTTCTTGAGATTATTGTAAATTTTCAAGTTTTATTTTAATTGTTTATGCAGAGGGAAGACGCGTCAATTTGTTCTGCAATTTGTAAAATTTAGGAGCATAGTCTTTTGTTCTTGGTGCAGGATTGCCTCTGGTGAGGAACATTAGTGAGCTTCCACAAGATAACTATGGAAGGGGAGGTTTAGCACACATAACAGTTGCAGGTTCACTCTTGCATGGGCTGAAAGAAGTATGTGAATGCTAAATGTATTTAAAAGTTAATCTCTTATAATCTTTCAAGTCTAAATTAGTTAATCATTGCTGATAATCATATGAAACTTCTGGGAAATTATAGGGCATTTGAAGTATAAAGTACAAACCTTCAAATAATGTATACTGTATGTTTTTAGGTAAATTATACCTAAATTGCTAAAATGCAAATAATATATACTTTCTTCCAATCTAATTCATAACATTTTCTTCCAACCACAATTCAAATTTGGCCAATTCTTTTTCCTCTCACGTAGGCAAGAGGTGTTAGTCTGGGTTCTGCTTTTATCTGTCGAACACAATTGAATGTGTTATATATAATTTTACAAACATTTTATAATTCTCACTTTTCACAGGTTGAGGTATGGCTTCAAACATTTGCTCCAGGATCTCACACACCAATCCACAGGCACTCCTGTGAAGAAGTTTTTGTTGTCGTCAAGGGAAGTGGCACCCTCTATCTTGCCTCAAATTCACATGGAAAGTACCCTGGAAAGCCAGAAGAGCACTTTGTCTTTGCAAATAGCACATTTCATATCCCTGTCAATGACGCTCACCAGGTAAACTATTCTACCGTTAGCAAAGAGCTGAGACAGAGACTATTTTATTTAAGCCTTCAACCTAATATAGTTTGACATGCTTGTGTTAGTGGAGGCAAGAATGTTGATGATCGTCTAAAGAATATTGAAAGCTAGAATTCCTGGGTTATTTAGAACAATTCTTATAAAGCTGGTACGTACATAGTTGAAATATAAACCATAAAGCCCTTTAAATCATCCTACTCTACCTCAGGCCTTTTTTGTAGAATGATTGAGAATGTTTAGTCAGTTCCATAACCAGTACATAATCACTTGGCAATTAGATTACAAGTTATATTATTTAGGGCTGTGGTGGGCAAACCAGTTTTCGCTGCACCTAAAATTCCTAAACTGGTAGGTAACCTTAATCCCACTTTATTCACACTTTATCATGCTTTCCCCTTAATAACTTTATTTTCATGTAATACAAATGGAATAACCATTCCATTGAGCAACATGCCTAAAGCCCTTTCCAGTTGAATGTGTTTTCCTTTAAATCAAACTTCTTGATTGGGCAAAAAAAAAAAAAAAAGACTTTTCAAATCTCCACATATTGCTGTAGACGTATCAGATTGTTGCCATTGTTGTTATTTTCCTTGTAAAATTTAGCAGTTAGCAATTCTTCATTGCCTATTGATTCTTTGTGATCTTTTCTCTTTTGAAAAGCATCCATAAATATTTGATTAAGATTAACATATATCAATCAGTATGTTCTCTTTGATGTTTCTTGTAGGTCTGGAATACAAATGAATATGAGGATTTGCAAGTGCTAGTGATAATCTCACGCCCTCCTGTCAAAGTGTAAGTTATTTTATTTGTTCTTTTGCCCTTGATTGTACATCATTGATTGAATCATGTTAATATCTTCTGTTTTCTAAGTCCACTGCATGACCACAATGACTAGCTCTAACAAAATACTATCTAGATTTTTGTTGTAATGTCTGGATGTCAAATATCAATTTAGAAGCTCGGTTGGGGGTTTGTGCATGCTAGTTCCTTAATCCTTGTGCAGAGTCCAGAATTTATTTTAACATTCATCAGGACCAGTTCTATGCTTATCTGCTTTACCATAATTCTTTCTTTTTCTTTTTTGGTAAATCCATAATTCTTTCATGAAAAGTTCAGAATGTTATCTTTCCGTCTCTTTGAACCTTTATTTTTTTTCACTTATTTTGGATTGGATGACCAATTTAACATAGACTGCATTTTACAAGTTCAAAATGTATCTTTTCCTTCGATTGTCCTATAGCGTCATCTGCTTGTGATTGAAAATCTTGGAATGCCCTTGCATTATCCTTTCCCTACCTTTTTTTTTCCTTTGCCCTTGTTCTATTTGCTAATAATTTCTAAGGAAGTTGCTTTCTTTTATGCTCTTGATTACAGGTTCATATACGAGGACTGGTTTATGCCTCACACCGCCGCAAAGCTGAAGTTCCCATACTATTGGGATGAACAATGCCTTCAACCTGCACCTCAGAAAGACGAACTTTGATATTCAAGCCGTTCCCTCCTCATATAGCCAACGGAATCCGATGGGATTACTTAACAATTTTCCCATACGACAATACTTGGAAGTGAAGAATGCAAAGATGGTTTGTAAGTCTATCATAACACTTCATTAGTGGGATTAATTCTGCTTTAAATATCTTAAGCGCTCCATTATTTTGTGGTGATGCCAACTCGTTGACTTCATAGTAAATGGGATTAAAACTACAGATTAGAGTTCTGACTTTTTGAGTTTTGTTAATTTATGCTGTAACAGAGATATTTTGGACAACCATTCCTTTCTCTCTTTTATTACAAAGTCCTCCGAGGTTTCTTCTCTTCCTCACAATCTCCACCAACCTTCTGCCTGTTTTGTCTTAATTAATCAAAACAATTTTCAAACATTAGTTTTTCTCTTAACATCCCCTAAACCTTCTCTTAACCGGCCTAACGCAAAAATGCATGGCTGCTCTTTCTCTCTCTTCTCCTCTTCTCCCCTAGCCTTTTCCCCCTCCTATATTTTCATAACCTCTTCATCTTCAAGGGCAGGATGGCCTTACCTCTCCCTCTCCTCGGCCTCCTGTCTTTGTCCCTCTTCCTCATTCCCACCACCTCCGCCACCTCAGGGATCCGCCTTGGGATCATCCGAAAGCCTTTTTCCCCCATTGATCCTCCCGTCTTTCGTGAAGCTCCCGCCTTTCGAAATGGCCGAGTCTGTGGGTCTCAACCCATGGATAGAATACACATTGCCATGACACTCGACGCCAATTACCTTAGGGGCACTATGGCTGCCGTTTTCTCCATCCTTCAACACTCCACCTGCCCAGAAAACTTCGAGTTCCATTTCCTATGGGTTCGTTACGAGCCCGATGTCTTAGCCAGCATCAAATCCACCTTTCCATACCTCCATTTCAATGTATTCCGCTTCGACTCCAACCGTGTTCGTGGCAAGATATCCAAATCAATCCGGCAAGCATTGGACCAACCCTTGAATTACGCTCGAATTTACCTTGCTGACATTCTTCCGCCACACGTAAAACGCATCATATACTTAGATTCCGACCTGGTCGTCGTGGATGATATTGGAAAACTCTGGGAGGTTGACCTCGAAGGAAAGGTGCTGGCAGCGCCGGAATACTGCCACGCCAACTTCACAAAGTATTTCACAAATTTGTTCTGGTCCGACCGAAATCTGTCCAGCACATTCGACGGAAGAAAACCATGTTACTTCAACACCGGAGTCATGGTCGTGGACATTGAAAAATGGCGGCAAGGTGGGTACACGCAGAAAGTAGAGGAATGGATGGCGGTTCAGAAACAGAGAAGGATATACCACTTGGGTTCTCTGCCGCCGTTTTTGCTGGTTTTGGGCGGGAACATAAAGGCGGTTGATCATCGGTGGAACCAACATGGTCTCGGCGGCGATAACCTCGAAGGAAAGTGCCGGAGCCTCCACCCCGGCCCGATAAGTTTGCTACATTGGAGCGGGAAAGGGAAGCCCTGGCTGAGGCTGGATTCCCGAAAGCCGTGTGTAGTTGATCATTTGTGGGCTCCCTATGATCTTTACCGTTCATCAACCCATTCGCTGGAATAATGATGAGAAAAAAAAAAAAAGGAATTTGTTTAAAAATATAATATTTGGAAGGAGAGGAAAAGAAACTAGTTAGAAAAAAAAAAGTTTTACGCAAAATTCTCCATATTTTTCAGTCTCTCATATTTCGTTATCTTTCATGTAATGGGTATAATTATTCTCATTTTTTTTTTGTACAATTTAACATTTCATTAAAAAAATTTAGATGGATCTAAACAAATAAGAATAAGATATTTGATATTATTTTATTTACATGTAATTTTTTTTTATATTAATCTCTTGATATATAATAATTATATTAAATTTTGATTAATTTAAAATTGAATTACATTAAATCTTATAAAGTAGAAAAGTTCTTCAATATTTATTTTTTCATTTATAAAGTTTGAACTTAGATTTTAATTAACAAAACTAAATTCTTTCTATTTAAATCAAGAAATCATTGAAACTTACATGTAAAATTTTACTTCAATCATTCTTATGGTTTTATTGAATATATTCAAAATATATATTTTATTTTATTTTATTAAAATTATTTTCACGAAAAAAAAATTACTATTAGAAGGAAATTTTTATTCAATTATTTAAGGAAGCATAAAAATAATTATACAGATTTCATATTTCACACTTATTTACATCATGTGATTAACTATAAAAAAAAATTAAGAAAAAGAGGGAAAATCAAAGATCATGTGATCAAATTCTGTGATCAAAACAGAGTAGGGCCTGAGAAAGTTAATATTTTTTCTGCTCGATGTCAATATTTCTCATTCTTGCCTTCCGACGCCGGATGTACTCGTCGGACTTTTCATTGATATTACTATCTACATTCAGAAGTACCCTTGGATGCTCTGGCGGATCCGAAATCACCGTCTTCCCGTTCTTCTTTTCTTTATCTTCCTCCTCCACATCAATGTTAATCTTGGATCGGTCGTACTCCGTCTCGTCGGTTTTCTTGAAGAGAATTTCAACTTCACAACCCGCATCGTCATCTTCCTTCATGAGCTTGATCCTCATATCATCACGTCCTTTGGGTTTGGCGTGGGTATAAAGCCCTTGAGTGCCGTTAAGGACCTTGAGGGCATTGAAGATGTACCTGAAGAGGCGGCGGCAAATGCCAGAATCGGGGTGGAAGTTGTTTTCTCTCTGCATGGGAAGCTTGATTTGGGGAAGGAAGAAGTGCTTGCTTAATTGCCGCAGTTCATGGGTAAGCAGGGAGAGTAGAGGTTTGGTTTAATAGGGAAAATTGAAAGAAAGTGATGATTCTATGCTTAGCATATGGGCTAACAATGGGGCAAAAAAATTGTGATTTTTGTGTTCTTAGGAAATTATTCCTTTCAATTTTTTTTTTGGGTATTGTCCTTTCAATTTTCAAATGTGAAAATTAGACATTTCGGCTGGTGATGCGAGGAATATTGACATTAATACAAGAATCTTACAAATAATAATAATAATAATAATAATAATGAAATTGATTCTTTTTACATACATTTCAATCAATCATGTTATAAATTATTAGAATTTTCTATTACGTGCTTCTACTTGATGGCGCAGTTTAATAGTGTATTTATTGTATTTTTTATTATTAATTTATATAAAAAATAAAAATTAATTTTAATTTTATTAATTATTTAATTAAAATAGTTCATATGACATTAATGTTGATGTTAAAAATAAAATTTATAATTTTAATTTTTATGTAAATTAATGATAAAAATATATAATAAATACATTTTTAATTTGTATTCTTTAAAACATAAATAAAAAAAACCCTAAATAATTTACATTGAGTTGACATATTAGAAGATCATAGAATTATTAACTATGTACTAAATATCACA